CCAACTCTAATATATAAAGGTGTGTGAAAGGAATAGTATTTGACTGACTGTTACAAGCAGAGCAAACGTTAGCTAACCAATAATAAATTCAAATAAAAATGTAGACAAATGTAAACACCTGCTGAATAGATCTACTCTTTACAAATGTCCCTGAGAAATAGAAGGTGGGAGTATTACTTTTTTCCATAACAGCTGTTCGGCCCCTCCATAACATGAACTGACATTAAAACGAGGTAACTCTATTTATTGATTAGCAAACCGTGTTAGGCTAAAGGTTAGTATTGTTCTGCAACAGACAAATCATTTCATCACATTATCTTTACTCTACCTCTGTCTTTGTCGTGTTTTTTTTTCCTCCTCTTCTTTTCTTTTTTTCCTTCCCTGGGCACCGGAAAGTTTTGGTCGTTTTGACATTGTTAATGGTTTCTGGGGTCGAGATGAAAGCACCCTGCCACCAAACAGTGTATGTTAGACTCTTTTTATTTACACCTAGAGCGCCGACTCACTTTCGAATGCTTGCTTTATCTGCTTTTCATTCTCAGTCCACAACACTGTGTCAACAGGTTTAGGGGTCATATCCTGTCTATGTGGGAGGCTGCAGCTTCAAATGGAACCTTTTTAAAGAAGGCTGACATTTTTAATGTTTGCCTTCTTTCACAGGGCCAGATGTGAAGATCAGTTTCATGTCTGTGTGCACAGGACAGACAGACTGAGGGTACTTATTATTTTTAGCCTAGCTTAGCACAGAAACAGCTGGACGACACTTATAGTCTGGGTTAATCAATTCTGAATAACATGTTGCATCTTCTTTACTTACAATTAGAAATGTGAATAGGAGAAATTGCAGTTTGAAGACCAGTTTTGGAGACACATTCGTGTATTTACTGCTCGCTGAGATCGGTGGTTGCATTGTGCTAGAAACAATGTAGCAACAAAATGGTAGAGAATTTTTACAGATTAATCATATTATCACAACCACAACTTTAACCCAGCCCTGTTGGTAAATGGTCCTGTACAGTGCCTTTCTCTATTCAAAGCGCTTTTACACTATGTGCCACATTCACCCTTTCACACACGTTCACTCAGCAATGGCAAAGTCCATCAAACAGGAACTGACTCATTCACATTCACACACCGATGCACAGCATCAGGATACTTTGACATGTGGTGGCAGGAGCTGGGGATCGAACCAAGTACCTTCCGTTTAAAGGAAGACCCGCTTTTCCTCTGAGCCACAGCTGCCGACACAATGTATGATTCTGCAAAAACCTAAATACTACTCAACGTTTTATAAATCTTTTATTTCTATAATATGGAAGCATGGCAACTACAGGTTAGGATAGGACATCTAAAAAGCTTGAATCCCTTCGATCTACCATTAATTGTTAGGACCAAGTGTAAACCCACTGTGACATATTCTCGCCAACCCTCAAAGTTTTTCTGTGGTCAGTGTCTCCCATGTGAAATTTGACCCAAACTAGGGTTACTGCTGGGGTGGTCAGGCATATTTTAGGGCAGCAGCCACTCTTATAGATCTGCCAGTGTTTACTAATGAGGCAGCACAATAATGGTAGCTTGTCAGTTTTTGCAGGCTGAGCTGTACTCCTCATGTTGATGGAGTGTCCTTTTACAGTAAGATATGAATTCTAAAAACAGACCAACCCCTTCTTGGCTATGCTCTTCAACTCTCCGGTGTCTGTGGCAGCGCGTCAGGCTAACGGCTAAGTAGCAGGCCACAGTTTGTAGAGTGGAGTCATTGATTTTATAGAAGCTGGAGTTGGTTGGTGACGAAAGCTGCAACCACATATGTCACCTGCTTCCAGATCAGCGAATAGAAAATTAAATCAACAACAATAGTAAATACACATATACAGAGGTTTTCAGCTGAAAAAACATTGTTTGGGGTTTAGTTACTCTTTAATAGATGACATGGTGTTTGTTTAGTAGTAGCATTTTTACAGCTTCAATAGCTGTTCAAGGACACAATGTAGTACCCTGAGATCTGCTAGCTGCCAGGTATGTTTTTTTCTTTTACAAGAACAGATTGTTGTTATTGGCTGGTTTGTACTGATGAAGAGATAAAATGTCTGAGGTTCAAGGCTCAAGTTTCATTTGGCTGTTATTATTATTGGTATTTATGGAAATCATGGACACAACTCAGCCTGAGCTAAAAATACACAAGTGGTGAGAAAAGGGCGCCTCCCTGATACACGTACACTAATGCAGACATATATGGCATTGGAATACTATGTCCTCACAAACCATTCTTCTTCTGACTCACTCATTTAGCCCCCCCCCCCTGCCTGACCCCTCTTCTCACAGTCCAACCCCCTACTTCCTGTTATATTTTGGGGAAAGCTCAGTTGGAGCGTGAGAACGCTCTCGGGGCAGGCCGTCTTGACCCACTGGTATTTGAAGCAAAATACACACATAGCTTCAAATATTTATTTGGCAAACCTCACAAGGCAGTGGAGGTGTGCCCCCCCCCCAACACAGGGTTAATTAAAAAAAAGGAAGAGAGACAACAAGTATTTTTGTTCTCACCAATTACTTAACCACATGAGTTTGGCTAATAGTTTCCTTGTGTATGTAACACCAGACAGCAGCTTGGTCCAGCCCAATCAGAGGGTCCCTGTCATTACAGTCCGTTTACAGCCCCACAGCTGTCAGTAATCACTCCTGGAGTTGAATAATGCCTCCCAGAAACAATCAGAAAGGAAGTTGTTGTGGGGTTAGGAGCTGGGGTGGCAAGGCAGACCCCAGATTGGCCAATTTAAAGTGGGATTTAATGACTGGACCTCCCTCGGGTTTTTGCATGGTAAACATCTCCCACAACCAAGCTGGCCCACTTCCAGTTCTCCCACCGCCACAGCCTCCATAGAGCCCGACAGAGCATCCTCTACCGAGCGCTACCTCTCCTTCTCTTAAAGCCTCCGGAGCTCTCATACCATGCTCATTACAGGCTCTGGTTTAAAACCGCACGCACCGCAGTCTGGTATTAGTGGCTGTCAGGCTGACGGCTGAGTGCAGTGGTGGTTGTGTTTTGTGGGTGGCTGGAAATGGCTGGTCTCTGCTCTGTAATTTTGGGGTTGGCAGTTTGGCCACAATGACACACACTTGAAAAAGCTTCAAACCTTTCCACACACTGTGTCCTGAGTCATGTACTGAGTCAGAATGATGCATTAGAGTACATGAATGAATACTGTTTAACATATACTTGAAGAGTCAAAAGCAAACAAAGAATGAAGGCTGTTAGTCAACATGGAAAACCGCTTTCTTACCACAAAATATCAAATACAATTTTGATCAGTTATGTTGACATGTATAATGTGGAAAATCTAGATGGAACAAGTTCATTTTTATGAGTAGCATAATCAACTTAAAAACGTATGCTTCCAATTATTAGGTAAGTGGTAATTAAAAATACCTTTTATTGTAGAGAAAAAGCTTATTAATTCAACTCATTTTGTTGAAGGTTCTGTGGATTATAACCTTCATTTTAAGGGCATTTGTTTACTATATATTCAAAATGAAACAGGTTACAGTATATAGGATCATTTTTCCAGGCAAAAATCCATCCCTTACATTACAGTGTGGTGTACTAATGAGGCACCACTGCAGTAATGGCAGCTTGTCTACTTCTGCCTACAACAGTTTTCACAGTAAATGTAAATAAAGGTCCACTGAGTGGAGAGACCTTTTACAGTAAGATATGGTGATGAATTCTAATAATCTTGTCTACACACATTGTGAATTTGTTCAGTGGAAACCCTCAGTACCTGGTATTCCAACAGAAACTCTGTATCTCTTGAAATCTAAAGGTATGTTCAGATCAAATGTGGAGTGCACTGAACATTTGTTTGAGCCATCCATCCACCTCCTCCATATGTAGACTTTCTTGTTCTTTATACTATGTCACCTGACTTCAATTGTACATCAAAACATTATGCCAAATGGGCACATCCAAAAATGGCACCAGAGGGGTACTATAGCTACTTCCCAAACTGCTGTATTTGACGACATTGACAGGGGTTTGCTACCAGTTTTCCACTTTTTTTAAGCAAACTTGCTACCTGCTGGAACTACAATTAACTGTTTCCTATACTTAGATATGCTACATGCTAGGCTTGTCTAAAAGACATATTTTAAAGATGTTTCAAAGATAAAAAAGGACTTATAATTAGTCATATCTTAACTAATGTTAGCAAAATGCTAGCCAGCTAATCTACATCAATCATTAGCTAGCTAGTTACATCTGGGGTTGCCACCTTCAACTTGAAAAAATAACACCTTGGCAGCAGCCTCATGCAGTGGGGTACACAAATCAAGTGGGGGGCATGCAGGTTCCCTCCCATGACATTTTTTTCCTGCATTCTGGGGAAATGTTATGCACCAATTAGTGCTTTCCATGCATCAAAACAGAGTCAATAGAGTGAGACAATTCAATTCAATTCAGTTCAATTTTATTTGTATAGCGCCAATTCATAACAGAAGTTATCTCAGGACACTTTTCAAATAGAGCAGGTCTAGACCGAACTCTTTAACATTAATTACAGAGACCCAACAGTACCACCATGAGCAAGCACTTGGCGACAAGGGCAAGGAAAAACTGCCTGTTAAAAGGCAGAAACCTAGGACAGATCCTCCGGCTCTAGGTGGTTGGTCGTCTGTCTCGACCAGTTGGGGTGAGAGAGAGAGAGAGAGAGAGAGGCAGAGAGAGAGAGAGCGAGAGACAGACAGACAGACAGGTGCACAGCAACAACAGTATTGGCAATGGCAGTCAAGCAGGACCATGGCAGGAGGCTCCACCAGGATCCATGAGAACCTGCGAGACGAGAAAGCACAAGAACTCCGGGGAAGAAGTGGAGTTAGTAACATGCATTAATGGGACATGAATGAGTGCATAAAGAGAGAGGAAGGGAGGAGCTCAGTGCACCATGGGCAATCCCCTGATAGTCTAGGCCTATAGCAGCATAACTAAGGGATGGTTCAGGACTCACCTGATCCAGCCCTAACTATAAGCTTTATCAAAGAGGAATGTCTTAAGCCTACTCTTGAATGTGGTGAGGGTGTCTGCCTCCCAAACCACAACTGGAAGCTGGTTCCACAGGAGAGGAGCTTGGTAACTGAAGGCTCTGGCTCCTGTTCTACTTTTAGAGACTATAGGAACCACAAGTAGCCCAGCATTCAGAGAACATAGTGTTCTAGTGGGGTAATAGGGTACTATGAGCTCTTTAAGATATGAAGGGGCCTGACCATGAAGAGCTTTATAGGTGAGGAGGAGGATTTTAAATTCAATTCTACATTTTACAGGGAGCCAATGCAGAGAAGCTAGTACAGGAGAGATGTGATCTCTTTTTCTAGTTCCTGTCAGTATTCGTGCTGCAGCGTTCTGAATTAATTGGAGCGTTTTAATGGACTTATTGGGGCAACCTGATAATAAAGAGTTGCAGTAATCCAGCCTTGAAGTAACAAATGCATGGATTAGTTTTTCTGCATCTGCCTGTGATAGGATGTGTCTAATTTTTCTAATATTACGTAAATGAAAGAAGGCGGTCCTAGAGGTCTGCTTTATGTGGGAGTTAAATGACAAATCCTGATCAAAGATAATTCCAAGATTCCTGACAGTGGTGCTAGAGGTCAAGTTAATGCCATCTAGAGTGACTATATCTTTAGACAATGAGTCTCTAAGGTTTTTGGGGCCAAGAACCAGAATTTCAGTTTTTTCTGAGTTTAACATCAGAAAATTGCAGGTCATCCAGGATTTTATGTCCGTAAGACATGTTTGTAATTTAGATAATTGATTAATTTCATTGGGTTTGATTGATAGATATAACTGCGTATCATCTGCATAACAGTGAAAGTTAATGGAAGGATTCCTAATAATGTTGCCTAAAGGGAGCATATATAAAGTAAATAGTATTGGTCCAAGTACAGAACCTTGTGGAACTCCATGACTAACTGTAGTATTTATTGAAGATTCATCGTTAACATGTACAAACTGCGAGCAATCTGATAAATATGACATAAACCAGCTTAGTGCGGTTCCTTTAATGCCAATTTGATGCTCAAGTCTCCCCAAAAGAATATTATGGGCAATGGTGTCAAATGCAGCACTAAGATCTAATAATACAAGTACAGAGACAAGTCCATTGTCAGAAGCAGTCAGAAGGTCATTATTAACTTTAACCAGAGCTGTCTCTGTGCTATGATGAACTCTAAATCCTGACTGAAAATCCTCAAATAAACTATTGTTATGTAGAAAGTCACACAACTCTTTGGCGACTACTTTCTCCAGAATCTTAGAGAGGAAGGGGAGGTTAGAGATCGGTCTATAGTTGGCTAAAACCCCTGGGTCAAGAGTGGGCTTTTTAAGAAGGGGTTTAATTACAGCTACTTTAAAGGACTGTGGTACATATCCTGATAATAAAGAAAGATTAATCATATCCAGTAAAGAAGTGCCAATTAAGGGAACAACTTCTTTAAGCAGCCTAGTTGGGATCGGGTCTAATAGACAGGTTGATGGCTTCGATGAAGAAATGATTGAAGTTAACTGATGAAGATCGATAGCAGAAAAACAGTCTAAATAAATATCTACGTTTACATTGACAGAAGTCCCTGAACTTGGAGAGCCACTGATAACTGTTGATGGCAGTTGGTGATTAATTTTTTCTCTAATAGTAATAATTTTATTATAGAAGAAGCTCATGAAGTCATTGCTACTTAAGTTTATAGGGATATGTGGCTCAATAGAGCTGTGAATCTCTGTCAGTCTGGCTACAGTGCTGAAGAGGAACCTAGGGTTGTTCTTATTTTCTTCTATTAGTGCTGAGTAATAGGCTCCTCTGGCATTACGGAGGGCCTTTCTATAAATTTTAAGATTATCTTGCCAATTTGAGCGATATTCTGATACAGTTGCATCAATTATATGAAGGATCCAAACATCAGACCATCATCATTTTGTACTGTTAAACTGATCAGAACAACTCTCCTGGATGTAGGCAATGTGGAGAAACAAATAAATATTTTCATTTATTTAGGTTCTGTGAACTTATACGGAATATAGGCCTGTATATAAAATGGATGTAATTTAAACCTTCTGTCCAACACTTTTCAGGAAGAATGAGGTAGTCTAGCCTTTGTAAGATTAATTTCCACCAAGAGGGTTATTGGTTAAAACACACACACAAACACACACACTGCTTCAGGTAGATAGAAAATTCTCTCAATTAATGTGTCTTCCTTTATACAACGGACTTGAGCAGGAGGTATTCGCCTAAACAACAATGCGTACTCTCCGTAACCAAGGCAACGATGACGTTGACTGACAGACAACTTTCCTGTCATTCTCCCCATTTTCTGATTTAATACTTTTCCACTGTGTCTAATTAAACTCTTTTGGTTTTAGGATTTCTCATGCCATTCAAGGCAGGTGAAAACATGCTGTATACAGTAGAGTGGGGTGTGAAGGAAAATACAGGACAATCCCATATTCTAGGGGACTGGCAGCTGTGGCTCAGAGGCAGAGCGGGTCGTCCACTAATCGGAAAGGCTTTGAGTGGTCGGAAGACTAGAAAGGTGCTTTACAAGTACAGGTCCATTTACCATTTACCATTTACCCCAGTTACCTCTGATTGCTAATGTCAGCAAATGCTGGCTAGCTTTGTAATTCTGAACTCAAAACGTAGACTATTATTCTTTTGCACTTTTGCACATTAAGTACTGTACATTTGATCTTTACTGTACATTTGATCTTGTATATATATATAGTTATTTATATATATATTTATATTTTTTTGTGCTGAATATTGTATATATATATGTTGTTTGTATAATATGTTGTTTGTATATCTGGAGTGTTGTAATGAAAATAATTTCCCCCTGGGATTATTAAAGAATTTCTGATTCTGATTCTGATTCTGAAATTGGTACCTGCATCGTCTTTACTGCTCTTGGAATACGTCTTTTTCACTAAATGACTATAATGAAAGAGGGTTGGTATATTTAAGCCTGGTTATCGACTCAGTGGGTGACAAGAGAGACTATCATCATTTGTCTCCATTTGCTTAATGCGGCTACAGTTTTGGAAAAACAATTAAATCAACATTTAGAAAGCCCAGTCATTCGTCTCTCCATAAATCAACTAAGAAGGCAGTCTTGGGTATGTACAAACAAACAGTCTGCTTCTATTAATTATTCATACACTGAGGGCTGATAAACAAGTCTGTGAAATCATGCCTCTAACATCCTGCAGTGGGAGAAGTCGTTTCCTGGATCAGATCCTGTGCAGGCTGTCTCTGGCATAGTTTCTGTTCCCGCGACCCTGCCATCACTCCAGGAGCTCCAAGCCGCCTGACTGACAATGTTCTGGGGGTTTTTGTGTCTAAAAATGCAGTGCATTCAATTCAATTCAATTCAATTCAGTTTTATTTGTATAGCTCCAATTCAGACAGACAGACAGACAGACAAACAGACAGACAGACAGACAGAAAGAGGTGCACAGCAACAACAGTAGCAACAACTACATTAATAGTAGTGACTGATGATGATGAACATGAAGAATTAGATGATGATGACGAAAACAACGCTGGGGGACAATGAGCAGCGACTACAACAACAATAGCAACCGTAGCAATAATAACAGCAATAATAATAATAACAATAATATCAGTAATATTAGCAATGGCAGTCAAGCAGGACCATGGCAGCAGGCTCCACCAGGATCCATGAGAACTTGCAAGACGAGAAAGCCTACTCTTGAATGTGGAGAGGGTGTCTGCCTCCCGAACCACAACTGGAAGCTGGTTCCACAGGAGAGGAGCTTGGTAACTGAAGGCTCTGGCTCCTGTTCTACTTTTAGAGACTATAGGAACCACAAGTAGCCCAGCATTCAGAGAACGTAGTGTTCTAGAGGGGTAATAGGGTACTATGAGCTCTTTAAGATATGAAGGGGCCTGATGATGAAGAGCTTTATAGGTGAGGAGGAGGATTTTAAATTCTATTCTAAATTTTACAGGGAGCCAATGCAGAGAAGCTAGTACAGGAGAGATGGTGGGCGGCTGTGGCTCAGTGTATATAATACGGAATATAGGCCTGTATATAAAATGAATGTAATGTAAACCTTCTGTCCAACACTTTTCAGGAAGAATGATGCAGAGTGGGTAGTCCACTAATCGAAAGGTTGTTGGTTCAATCCCCGGCTCCTCCCACCACATGAGCAAGATACTGAATCCAAAGTTGCTCCCAATGCTGTGCATCAGTGTATGAATCTATCTATAAAGCAAGAAATCTCTGTCTGTCTGTGTGGGTGTGTGTCTGTGTGTCTGTGTGTGTGTCTGTGTGTGTGTGTGTGTGTGTGTGTGTGTGTGTGTGTGTCTCAAATATCTCTGCAGATCAGGATCAGACTGACCTGAGAGTTTCCATATGGCTGCTGTGTGGTTTAAGGGTGTGCAACGTCGGCTTTGTTTGGACTATAAAGATACCGCTAATAAATTATTTCATAAATTATTTCCAAATTCCGCTAGCATTGCCAACGATAGCCACCCTAGCCACGTGCGCACCAGAGCCAATCACTGCATCACTGTGGTGTTTCCGAGTTGTCTCCCCTCGTCAATCTAAACCCGCGGACACTTTATAATCATATGGATGCTGTTATAATGTGTAGTGATTGAGATCCTGACCCACCAAACATCCTGGAAAGTGACGAAGTTACGTTTTTCACTCTAAATTACACAATTATTACACAATAATCACCAGCAGTAAACTGACTCCCTCATTCGCAACACGGAGAATGTTTTGACACTCTGTGAGTTTTCCCCAGTGACAGACGCTGTTTTTCAGGCAAAAATGTGACGAAGAGTCGGTAGGACAGGCGGGAGGACAGACAGGAGGACAGACGCTTCTCCACGTACAGCTGTGGTATTTTTTTTCCTCATATAAGTTTCCAAAGACAGTTACAGTTACTACGTTACTGTTGTTTGGTCCTGTAACGTTGCTTTGTGGGACATTTCTCTTTATTAAGTTGAGTGAGAGACCTGTGCAGTTATCAGACTGTCTGACTGACACGCCCTCGCTCCGCG